TCTGCACATTCTGGTTTGTTGCTCTGGGTTCTTCAGCAGCTGTAAAGAGAAATGCTCAGTGATGTCTCCCTGTGCCCTCTTACTCCATCTATGGACTAGTCTTCCCATTGTAAAAACAGACTTTTTTTTTTATGAGTTATTTATATTCTTGGTTACTTTGAGCAACAAATTATGGTATGAAGCATTTTGACTTGCTATTTTTGGTATGAGAATGAAGTACTGAGATTGAAGGAATTCTCATCCTAGTTGTCATTATGTTCTTTGAGGAACAAGACTGGCATGTTTGATGAACGAAATATTAAAGTGTCTGTAATATGCAAATGCTGTCTAGCTGACAAGAGAAACTGGATCCATGTCTGACAACTGTATGAACCTTACAACCTAAATCCCACAACATGGCAGAACATGATTAAGGGCTGAAATTAAGAATTCACATGGTAAATTCAGTGGGTCAGAGAACAGAGGAAGTGAATGTTGGTGGAAAAATCAGAGCATGTGGAGCCTGAGAGGGTCTCCTTATGGCAAGGGACTTCTCATGACCTGTTTGGAGATTCTGGGGAGAATAGTAACCTTAAGATCAGGGTGTCCTATTTCACAAAACAACACATGTGAAATAAAATTGTCTGATGGGACCTATTTAAAACAAAGTCCTGCCTAGCCTTCTCATAGCTTGCCTGTATTTTAATTATTTGAAGAAATAGAAGAAAGGATAATTTTTTTCTCCTTGATTTTTATGGACTTTTTACTTGTTTAAACCCAAAAATTTTAGGAAATTCTGATTCAAGTTCTATTGTTTATTTTAAGAATCAGGTGATTGAGATCAGGGTGCTGAAAAGCTACTAACCAGGGATGTGCTCCTCTCTTAGGCCATTTAGTAAGCCTTCCTTGCCCCCAGTCCGTGGCTGGGCTCCTGCTCCCCCTGGCCATCTCGAAGAAAGCAGCTATGGTCCTTGCCAATTTGGCCAGTTGAGGGAACAGGAAGCTTGATGATGTTCTCTTCTTCACTAGTCAGTGGATTTACTCTCCTGATGGGGCCTCACTGACCCATTCACCTGTCATTTTTTAATGCATGTCATAAGTCTAGGTCTGTGCTAATTCTGGATGTGTGAAAATGGGACTTCAAGTAACAACTCTTCATCTAGTAGGAGCAAAAGTCAAGCAGATTATTTATAATGCCTTTTGACAAGAGTTATCCCAGCCCTTTGGGAGGCCAAGATAGGAGGATTGCTAGAGTCTAGGAGTTCAAGACCAGCCTGGGCAACATTGTGAGACACTGTCTCTACCAAAAATAAAAAGCCAGCATTGGTGCGCACCTGTAATCCTAGATACTCGGGAGGCCAAGGCAGGAGGATCACTTGAGCTCAGGAGTTCAAGGTTATACTGAGCTGTCATGGTGCCACTGCACTCCAGCCTGGGTGACAGAGCAAGACTCTGTCTCAAAAAAAAAAAAAAAAAAAAAGGCGAATTAGGCTCTAGTTGCTTTGGGAGTGTAATGTAACTCAGGCTAAAGGGAGGAGGGAGCTTCAGGGAAGATATTCTGGAGGAACTACTATTTGACACTTGAGATATAGGTAAGAGTTGGCCAAATAAAGGAGAGAAAGCACATGAGAGGCAGTGGAGAGAATGGTGGGTTTGAAGAACATACCTGGGCATGGAGGAAGAAGGGTGACAGACGAGGAGGAAGGGAAACGAAGGAATATGAGTCACTTTACTTGTAAAGACAATGGTAGTTACTTCACATGTGTGTACATGCATCAACTCTAAAAATACACATATTTTTACTCGGTGAGCAGCTTTTTGAGGTATGGATTTATTGGTGTTTTGTAGCCTAAAATGTTAAGGTATACCTTCCAGTGTTCCCACTGGTAAGTGATAGGGACTCGGTGAAGCTATATCTCCTATTGCCTACAGTTGTAACTTCTTTATATTTTTCAAGTCCAAAGGCATTGTGTGTCAATGATGATGTTTTAGTAGGCATATTCTTTTTTTTTTTTTGAGACAGAGTCTTGCTCTGTTGCCCAGGCTAGAGTGCCGTGGCATCAGCCTATCTCACAACAACCTCAAACTCCTGGGCTCAAGCGATCCTTCTGCCTCAGCCTCCCAAGTAACTGGGACTACAGGCATGTGCCACCATGCCCGGCTAATTTATATATATATATATTTTTTTAAGTGTCCAGATCATTCCTTTCTATTTTTTAGTAGAGATAGGATCTTGCTCTTGCTCCGGCTGGTCTCGAACTCCTGACCTTGAGCGATCCCCCTGCCTCGGCCTCCCAGAGTGCTAGGATTACAGGCGTGAGCCACTGCGCTCGGCCCAATAGGCATATTCTTGATCTATTGTTTTGATTGATGGACAGTCATAATTGTATCACTAATAGTGCAGTGAGTGATTGGATGGATTTGTGAAAAGACATGGTTGCTCTTTAGTACCTCAAACTCTAATTGGATCTTAACTCATTTCAAATACTTGCAGCCCCTTGTGAGAATGGTAGCCATTAGCTACATGGGATATTATTTGATGGGGAATTTGTAGTAGTTCTTTCCACTTTTAAAAGCTTCTTGGATTTCAGAGCTCTTCACATAGATTGCCTAATTTTCCTTTTGATTGTCACGATAACCCTTCAACCCTAACTACCATTATTAGGGAGGCACCCCATTTTGTGGGTGAAGCTTAGAGGAATAGAGTTGTCCATGCTCATATAACCTGTCTGTGGCAGAACTTAAACCCAAACTCAGTGTGACTCAAACCCCAAGCTTCTTACACTGTGCCTTGCTGTATTCTCATTCAATTTATTCATCACTGATGAACCTGAATTTTCTTAGCTAACTTACATGTCTAATGGGGTCATGGTAATATGTGTATTTTATCTACATACTGCAATGTTTGTTCACTTAGCAAATATTTAAATGTAAACTGTGCCAGGTACTGTTCCATTTGAAGTATAACACAAGTTTTTATAAAGTCATAAATTTAAATACATAAAATGGAAACATAAGCGTATTTGTTTCCATGTGAGAAATGAACAGAAGACGTTGCTGTGCTTCCGTCCTGTAGCACTTGTGCACTCAGACTGTGTGTGTAGCCGAAGCCTGCCTGGGCTCTTCTTCCCTAACCTCCCCCAGTGCCTGGGACAGTGCCCATGGCTGGTCCTGCAGCCAAAATGCCCCAGGCTGAGCTCTTCTCTCCTGCTTAGTCACAACACTAATGTCCTGTTTCAGGGTTTGAGGCTTTCTTTTCTCTTGGACAAAGCACCTCAAGGACCTTTATCACCTATTTCTTGCACAGAGCAGAAAGTTAGCAGCTAAATGAGCAGCCCCTGAGAAAATGCCCTGTTAGGAATACCTGGTGATGATAACTAAGGCTTATAGCAGATGCTTTCACAGCTATGATCTCCTTTAATCGCTCAGCAGTCTGAGGGGAGAGCTATTCTGATTAGAGGAGTAGGGCAGAGAGCCACCCGCCTGCTGGAGTCTGCCCAGCAGCAGCAGGGCCCTCTCTGTACCCCCAGGCTCCTTCCCTAGACACAGCCCTAGACTTCCACCTTCACGGCTCACCTGGCTCACGTAGGCCTGGCACACAGGGCCAGATTCCCAACAGTGCTAGCACCAAGCAGGCATCTTGCCAGTCTTTGGAGGCTGCTGCAAAAGTCTTAAATACTGCTAAAAGTTTTGAAGTGTTTGTTTGCTCAGCCACAATCATCTGACTGGAGCAAGATGGAAACCAAAGTCATATTTTGGGGAGAGGGTAGGATCTTCTGACTAAAAGCTTTTATGTAAAGTGCTAATGTGATCATTTCTTTGAGGAAGACATTCCCTTTCCTTTGGGGGAGGAAAAAAAAGCCCTAACATCTGTAGTGATGGTTCGCTGACTCGGGTCAGTTATGAAATGAATTTTGTCTCTTTTCCTGATTCAAAAGGTGGCTCTGTGAGTTGGGTTGTGTGAGAAACAGCACACTCTAGCCTCCAGCCAAGGAGGAATGTCTTTTTAAACAGTTGAGCAAATTCCCAGATTAGAAAAGAGTCTGGTGTAGCTGATGTCACTCTTTCCTGAGTAATTCTGGGTGGTTATTTACTGCATGCGATCTACCAGGAGGCCAGAAACTTTGAATGAGCTTCATTATTAGAACTGTAGCATTGCAGGCATATAGGAAAGAGCTGTTTGCCACAGTTAGTATGAAGGTTTCAAAGACCTGCCGCCCACTGAGCCCTAGGGAATCCTTGTAGAACGGGAAGCTAGCGCAGTTTCGCTTTAGCTGCATCCTGAGGGATTTATGTGATGGCAAACAGCCGAGGTGAAGAAGCCGCCTAGCAGTTACTGAGGCTGCAGCATTATGTGGGACTTCAGATAGCTTCTGAGTGGTCAAGCAGTGGTAAGTAGCAGCGTTACTAACTGCGGGGTTTCCAGTTTAAAGCAAATGGTATTTTCAGAAGCACATGTAAAGACTGTTGCATTTTTCCTTTTTTTTTTTTTCTGATCAGAGAAAGCACTGGTTAAACTGAAAGTTAGGAAATCGTATTGAGCAATCGAGGGAGATTATTGGCCAGATTGCTAATTGGTCACGTAATGTGCTGGTGTGATCACATTATGTGGGAGCCTGTGTTCAGGCAAAGGTTCCATCCTCAGACATGTATGTGCTTCATAAAGTACTGCTTGGGATTTGTAAGGGTAATTCTATTCTACTCACAATAAACTTTGGCATACAAAGGTTTCATCGTGGCTCATCCTTCATTTTCTCCAACTTCTCTTTTTCTCACTAGCTGTCTTTTTCTCACCTATGGCTATGCTTTAAATGGACTTGCCCATTCAGATCAAGGCTGTTCTAAAAGTCATTTTTTGAAGACGTAGAAATCTGATCCTTCTTTCCCCCTGTGCATAGGATCCTTTCTTTATTGTTATTGTCTACTGTTAGCCAGCTGGTGTTCCTTAGATAAGTCAGGGTGGGGTCTGGTGGCTAACTCTGGTTGTCAGCTCCCCTTAAAACCATGTGTTGTCTCTCTAGCACGATCCTGGAGGAAGAGAAGGCTCAGCAAGAAGAGCGGATGAGGATGGAGTCCCGAAGACAGGCCACAGTGTCCTGGGACTCCGGAGGGTCTGATGAAGCACCACCTAAGGTAGCTGTGTGCCCGCCCCAACTTTGTGGTTATGCTGCTAACTCGAGATTGTTGGTGTAGGCAGCTGTTTTCTATGAGAAGAAACTCCAACATCAGGTTATTCAAGAGTAATAGTTACAACCCCAGCGAATGGTTTCTTGTTTGCTCCTCCTCTGCATATGAGTCTCATGTACACTCGTGTTCCAAATTTGCATGTCAAGTAAAGGCTGTTTTAAGCCATGAGCAAGCAATTGGATCAGATGTCATCTTAAAATGCTCTTCCTTTTCTTCTTCATTTCCCCTCCACATCGTGAGACTAAATGGGCTGCCTACTTGGGGGCGGTTGTTTTTTGTTGGTTGTCAGAAATCTCCCTAATCAAACCTGGATTAAAACATCAAACTACACCACAGACACTTTACATTTTGCTTTATTTAAAAATGAACCTATTTCTACTTGACCATATTCCTTTTGTTTTGTTTTGTTGAGAACTTCGTATACATTTTTTTGCCTTTTTCTTGTTCTGGCTGGTGGCTGGGTTGTCTGTGTGAGGAAAAAAAACACATTACACATTACATTGCCTTTCGTTGCCTTAGTAAGATCTGCTGGCAGCATCCTCAGGCCTTGCTTGTCTACTCACGTTTAGCTCCTTTACTGGTGCCTTCTCAATTGTGCATGAATAATAGATTTTAATGTAACAGATACTGATACAGTCTCAAATTCCACATTGCAACTCACCTTTAAGAAACTACCTCATTGAGTAGTTGAGTTTTAGAGTAGTATCCAAAAACAATATCCTCAGCTGTGCCCAAAAAATTATTAAAATACCCTTCCCTTTTCCAATTGCATGGCTGTGTGAGGCTAGATTTTCTTTAGCTACTGCAGGAAAACAGTACATCACAACAAACTGCAGAAGCAGATAGGAGAACTTGCTACCTCCTATTAAGCCTGACATTAAAAGAGATTTACATAAATGTAAAAGGTGCCCTTCTGTTGGTTTTTGTTTGTTTTTTTGGAAAAAATAGGTATTTTTCTTAAATATGCTAGGTGTGTTAATATTTCTAAGTGAATTTATACATATGTTTAAGTGTTTTAATTTCTAATAATATAAATATTGGCAGATATATTCCAAATAAACAAAAGCTCTTGGAGTCCTCAGTAATTTTTAAAAGTGTAAAGCTGTCCTGAAAATGAAGTGTTTGAGAGTAGCTGCCTCAGAACAGCTTTGAAACAATGTTCTTTGAGGCCGAGTGCAGTAGTCATGTCTGTAATCCTAGTACTTTGGGAGGCCGAGGCAGGAGGATCACTTGAGGCCAGGAGTTCAAGATGGGCCTGAGCAACATAGCAAAACCCCCATCTCTACAAAAAATAGAAAAAATTAGCCAGGAATGGTGGTGTGTGTCTGTAGCCTCAGCTACTCCAGAGGCTGAGGCAGGAGGATCACTTGAGCCCAGGAGTTTGAGGTTACACCACTTCCCTCACGCCTGGGCAACAAAGCGAGACCCTTCTCAAAAAAAAAAAAAACCAGTGTTCTTCAATCCTAATTAAACCCAGCCCTTCATTTATATAAAAATTTTAATGTCTCACTTACTAATCCTGAAATAAAAACATAGGTGATAAAATGACTTACTACTTTCAAAATATCCCAGTGTAAGGATATTTGTGTTAGGACACCTCCATACAGGAGAAGTAAAAGGAAAGTAATTTTTGGTAACATTATGCATGTATGCATAAAACACTAAGGTCTGAGTGCACTGGGAGATGTGATAATGTAGCCCAGTGCTTGCACCTGTTTGTGGACTCACCATGAATACCACAGCTACAGATGCAGGCCCCACAGCCACAACTGATAATGTATCTGATTGGTCTTGGTGATGTGATTTGCTAAAATGGTGAGAAATATCTTGGTAAAGTTTAAACGAAATAAGATTGTCTATCAGTATACGCAGTAGTTGCTATTCTAGAAAGTTCAGCATTGGATAAACTATGCAAAATATCATTTGTGTTAATCCGTGAAACAGTTTATTCTGTGTTTGGGTGACAGAATTGTTGTTGCTGTTGTTCTACCTGTATAAAGTAGGGAGAGACATTAGAAAGTCCTGTGTGATGTGGAACAAGTCCTTTTGTTTAGGCCTGTCCTTTCATTGCCAAAAATCTCACCTGCCTGGCATCTACCCTAATGCCAACTGTTGCAAGCATATGAAGCACCCTCACAAATACACTCATCCCTCAACATTTGTGAGGGAATGATACCCAAATCCCCACATGCTTATCATTGGATATGTATGGTGCAAATACCTTCTTCCACTCTGGGATGTTTTTCACTTTTTTTTTTTTCTTCTTAGAGACAGGGTCTCACTCTTGCCCAGCCTAGAGTGCAGTGGCACCAGCGTAGCTCACTGCATCCTCGGACTCCTGTACTCAAGCGATCCTCTTGCCTTAGCCTCCCGAGTAGCTGGGACTACAGGTGCCCACCACCATGCCCAGCTAATTTTTCTTATTTTTTACAAAGAAAGAGTCTAGCTGTGTTGCCCAGGCTGGTCTTAAACTCCTGGCCTCAAGCAATTCTCCCACTTCGGTCTCCCGAAGTGCTGGGATCACAGGTGTAAGCCACATGCCCAGCCACTCAGATCCCTTCTATAAAATGGCATATTTACATATATCCTATGTATATCCTCCCATATACTTTAAAATATCTCTAGATTACTTATAATACCTAATACAATGTAAATGCTACGTGAATACTTGTTATACTGTATCTTTTTATTTGTAGTGTTAATTGTTTTTTTCTGTAAGGTTTCAATCCACTGTTAGTCGAATCCCCAGATGTGGAACCCTTGGATAAGGAGGGCTGACTGTATATCAGCTTCTTCCTTTTTATCTTTCCTTACTCTGAAGCATTTCAGTAAAGATTCCCTCTGTTCCACATTTTGCTTTATTAAAATCCAGGTTTCTGTCTAGGAGGAGGTGTGTTGACACTCCTAATTCATATAGTACTTAGTCGCAGGTGACACTTTTGGATACTTATATGAAAGCCATTCTCAAAGACCTTGATGTTTACTAGCTTATTTAATCTTCATGACAGCTCTAGGAGATAGCTACTGTTATTGTCCCCTTTTTGTCTCTGACCGTAGGGAGGCACAGAGAGGTGAAGCACCGTAACCACAAACACTGGCAGTCTGGCATAGAGCCTGCCCACCCTCAGGACCAACATTTGTAGAGAACAAAAGCAGAGCTGTTTTACCAACGCGTTTGCATTCACCATGTCTGGTGGTTGGCAAAATTTGATTTTGTGGTGTCCTTTGTGCAATTATTTTGTCTATCATAAAACATTTTCTTTTTACCTGTTTTATCATTTGCTACCTTTTAAGTATTTGAATAACTGTAAGATATTTTATACAGCTTTTTGTCATTTTCTGATCTTTTTCTTTTATATGTTCCTTTTTATTTGGCGAGTCAAAAGTGCACTTCTCATGGAATAGCATCATGGCAAAGCAGATTTTGGAGTCAGGCAGTTCTGCCATGACCAGCTGTATTTAAATTGCCTGATTTCTCTGAGCCTCTGTAAAATGGGGGCAGTAATATTGCTTCGTAGCATTGTTGTCAAAATTATCAAATTGTATGTTGAGTATGTAGTTTGTTGTACACAGGATGAATAAATGGCAATCGTTTTTATTTTTGCCCGTGTTATTTACGCTTCCAAATGTGAGCCGGGGATGTAACTGCACAGCTGTCAGTTCTATTCAGTGCCCTAATTATTGGCTTTGGATCTTTTCACTCTTGGGTTCCAAGAGCACTTGCTCCAGGAAACCATTCCCATGCAACCATTATTAAGGCTTACATATTAACACTTAACCTTTAAAACAGCTGTTGCCATTTAAATGTCAGAGTACAAGGTAGTCAGACTCTTTTTTTAACCTTGTTAAACTAAGCACAACCACTTTTTCAAATTAAACCTTTAAAAAATATAGGTCTGAAGGGTAGTCCCTTGGGCTTCATGGAATACACTTTGGAAATTGCTGCCCCAGTGCACAGTAGAGAAAAGCCTAGAACACCCCCTTTCCTGTTTTGGGGGTCTTTGAGGAATTCATGCTCATATTTAGTTTAGAGTACTGGAACACTGTTGAAATGTGACAGAGCTAAGGAGTAAGGAAGGATTTCCCACCCTTAGGAATTTAATGGCTCATAATAGCAGGGCTAGAACAAGTACAGGGGCACCTGCAGCTTACATCAGGATTTGAAAAAGACCCATGGAGGAGAGCAGAGGACTTGTGTTTATGTTACACTGGCGAAATCAGGCGCCGCCGCTCTGTGAAAGAAGTAACGTTTGGAAGACTGAAGGGGTATGAAGTGTTCTGCAGCTTGAGGGAGGAGACATTCCATGCAGAGGGGACAGTATAAGCAAAGCTGTGGGGAAATGAGACTAATTTTAGAGACCTAATATACTCTGGACCTAACTAGAGCAGAGCATGTGTTTGTCCAGGACCATGGGAAAGAGACACAGGCACTGAGGAGTGTGCTTTACTCCCCTCTGCCTGCTGGGACTTAAATCCATTTCCTTTTATTGTGGTCTTAATTTGGCTGGAGAAAAATTGGTTTCTACCTTGTTAAAACCCTCAAGTTTTAGAAGCCGTTTTATCAACTTTTCTTTTAGCCTTCTAGTTCAGACTAAGTGATTCTTTTGCTGTGAACTTTGAATTCATTTATCCCACAAACAAAATGAGAATTTTAGAGCTGTAAGTGACTTTAGAGCTCTTCCACCTCGACCCCCATTTCGTGGGTGAGGAAATAGAAGCCAGTTGGTATAATCACAGGACCATGACTGCACAATTAGGAAGTAGCAGAGCAGAACAAATGCCCACTCTCCAGATCCCAGCTCGCTAGACAAGAGGGCACTCAAGTCCCTCAGGCCCAGCGTGTTTAGCATCCCTTTTTGTTATTGATGATAGTTTAATAGCTTTACTGAAGTACAACTCGCATACACATTTAAAGTGTGCAGTTCGGCCAGGTGTGGTGGCTCACACCTGTAATCCTAGCACTCTGGGAGGCTGAGGCGGGAGGATCACTCAAGGTCAGCAGTTCAAGACCAGCCTGCGCAAGAGTGAGACCCCCGTCTCTACTAAAAAATAAAAAGAAATCAGCTGGTCAACTAAAAATATATAGAAAAAATTAGCCGGGCATGGTGGCGTATGCCTGTAGTCCCAGCTTCCCAGGAGGCTGAGGCAGGAGGATCGCTTGAGCCCAGGAGTTTGAGGTTGCTGTGAGCTAGGCTGACACCACAACACTCTAGCCCAGGCAACAGAGCAAGACTCTGTCTCAAAATAAATAAATAAATAAAGTGCGCAATTTGTTTTTAGTATATTCAGAGTTGTCTACCCATCACTGCAATCAATTTTAGAACATTTTTATCACCTCAAAATGAAACCTTGCACCCATTAGCAGTCCTCCCCTGTTCTTTCTTCCTTCTGATCCCTGGCAACTTCTCATCTATTTTCTGTCTCTTTCGATTTTTCCCTATTTTGGACATTTCATAAATGGATCATATAGTATATGGTTCTTTGTGACTGGCTTTTTTCACTCATAATAATTTTCAGAGTTCATCCATGTGGTAGCATGTATCAGTACTTCATTCCTTTTAATTACCAAATAATATTTCATTTATGAGTTTACTGAATTTTGTTTATCCATTCATCAGTTGATGGACACGGATGGTTACTACTTTTTAGCTCTCATGAATAATGCTACGAAGAATATTCATGTACATGATTTTGGTTTTTGTGCTTTTAGAGACAGGGGTCTCACTGTGTTGCCCAAGTTAGCTTTGCACTCCTGGGTTCAAGTGTTCTCCCACCTTAGCCTCCCATGTAGTTCATGTAAATCTTTTTGTGTGGATGTATATTTTCATTTCTCTGGAGTATATGCCTGAAAATGGACTTGCTGGATCATATGGTAAATTATATGTTTAATTTTCTAAGGAATATCCATACTGTCTTCCACAATGGCTACACCATTTTACATTCCCACCAGCAATGCACAGGGATTCCAGTTGCTCCACATGCTTGTTGGCACTTTTTTTATCGTATTTTCTCTTTTTGATTATAACCATCCTCGTTGTAAAACAGTAGCTTACTGTGGCTTTGATTTACATTTCCCTGATGCTGAGTGATATTGATCATCTTTTCAAAATGTGCTTTCTGGCCATTTGTTTTTCTTAGGGTCTACTCAAGTCCTTTGTCCACTTTTTAACACATTGACTGCCACACTAGAAAAAAATTTTCTTTCCTTGGTGTTTTATTACAAAAGCGGAATAAAAACTTGGAAAATAAAATGATCCTTTCTAATTTAATGAAAAATTGTTGTTTTTATTGTTTTCTGTGTTTTATTCAATAAAAAAGTAATAAAAACTTGAAAATTAGTAATGTGAAAAACTTGAAAAAAGTAATGTGAAAACTTGAAAAATAGTTCATAAAAGTAAAGCGTTTTTTTGACTTGTCAGGCTTAAGTATAGTTTAAAGGTAAACATAAATAGAAAAATGAAATTTATTAACTTCTGTTCATTTAATCCACGGTTTTAGGATTAAATTGTCAGTATTAATTGTAAGAGTAAGAACATCAATGAGTAAGATTTTTCATGAACCAACTACAGGGTTTTGCCCAGGGGGCCACCCATCACGTACTATGTGCTATAGCACGGCAGCATGAGTTGCCTGCATATCATGCGGCTCCCAAGGTAAAGAGACCTCTGAGTTATATATACTTCACAAGGCCTCAAGCTCAAAACCAGTGTGAGTTAAATACAACTCACCTGGCAGTTAATATGTTAATTGGATTGTCATTTTATTGTTGATTTATAAGAATTCTTTATATATTCTGGATATGAATCTCTTATCAGATAAGTGATTTGCAAGTATTTTCTTCCATTCTTTAGATTGTCTTTTTACTTTCTTAATGGTATCAGTTGCAACATGAAAGTTTCTAATTTTAGTGAAGTCCAGTATATCTGTTTTTTTCTCCTATCAATTGTGTTATTGATATCAGAACTAAGAAAACATTGCCTAACGCAGGGTCGCAAAGATTTACTTTTATGTTTCCTTCTCAGAATCTTAGGGTTTTTAGCTTATTACATTTAGGTCTGTGATCAATTTTGAATTAGTTTTTGTGTATGTTTTAAGGAAGAGGTCAAACTTGATTTTTTCGCATGTGGATATCCAGTTGTCAAAGCATCATTTATTGAAAAGAATATTCCTTCCCCATTGAAATGTCTTGGCACTCTTTTATCAGTGTCTTTTAGCACTCTTTTCAGCTAAGCTCTATTAGAGAAATAATCTTTTTCTATTCTTTTCATAAAACATAGATTTACCACAATCAAAAGATTCATTCATATAATTCTCTGTTGATTTGTTCACAGCCCAGCAGACCTGGTTATCCTAGCCCAAGGTCCAGCGAAGGATTTTATCCCAGCCCACAGCACATGGTACAGACCAATCATTACCAGGTATACTAGTCACTACAGATATAAAATTTGTTATTTGATTCTTCAGCCTTTTTGGGGTAGGGAAGTACATTATACATATTTATTTTATTATTATTATTATTATTTGTGTACTTACGAGTATGATTTGGTTAGCAGAAAGCTAAGAAAGTGGTCACCCTGATTGTTGTCCGAGTGAGTGTTATCTTGACGCCCCATGCAGGAGGCATTCATTATTTACTTAGTCTTAAAGTAGGTGGTACAAATGCCTCCAACAGTTCTTAGACCCTTTCTCATCTGCTTGTTCTTATAATAAAGGAAGGGCAAGGTGAATCCAGTGGACATACACTATGCGGAGGTAATACTGAACTGGGCAGTTTTGCTGGAAGGCAAAAGTAAAATTCAAAATTACTTAACAGAAACCAAATGAGATGCTAGTATGGACAAGTGTGGGAAAAGTGTTAGACTGATAGACAGATACCTGTACAAACTAGAAAAGATTATCCTTGAAAGAAAAGGATCTAAAGCAAAGGAAATAATTTTGTTCGTTTTTGTTTTTGAGAAAATGGTATTAGCTTTTATTGAGTTATAATTTACTTACAGTGAAACACAGTCTTAGCTGTGAGCAGAGCACACACACGTGTGCTCCATCCCCACATCAGGATGGAGAACATTTATGTAACCCCGGGACGTTCCCTCATGCCCTCGTTCGTCAGTCGCTTCCTGCCCCAGCAGCAGCCACTCTTCTGACTTCTAGCACCAGAGATTCTTTACGCCTGTTGTAGAATTTTATATAAATGGAATCATATAGTATATGCTTTTTTGGTTTCGGCTTTTTTTACTCATTGTAATGTCTGTGAGAGTCAAAATCCTGTCAAGAGGGTCAGTACTTTTTCTTTCCTTCCTTCCTTCTTCACAGTTATTGAGAACAGGGTTTAAATTAAGGCTTTTTTGGGACAACGTGGGCAAAATGCTAAACTGTTAGTACTAGGGTAACAGATGAATTTAGGCCCTATTTCTTATTGGAAAAGAAAAGACCATATGGCTGTGGTAGCTTAGAACAGTGAAACTGGATAAATTTCAGGCTCTTTATCTACCGCCTTCAGATTCTAATATACTTATTCTGAAGTGGAGCCCAATAATATCATATTGTTAACAAGCAGTCCCAGGTGGTTCTGGGGCAGATGACTCAGACCCATGTTCTGGGCAATACTGTTTGAGATACTCACTTGTCTAGAGAAAGGGAAGTGAATCATTTGAGGTCTCTAGGGCATCTGTTCATTCAGCAAGATGACACTGAATGTCCCACCACTCCATGCCCAGCACTATTCCAGGCATTGGGAACCTGGAGATGAATAAGCTACTGCCTTTGCTCATGGGAGGAGCTCACAGGGCCCTTCCATTTTGGTCAGTCTAGATTACCAACTCCATGCTTGAAGGAGCCAAAACTCTGACCCACGACAATGGTCAGAGCAGCCAGAGGGTGTAGTGGCCTAAGGAAAGAAACCCCACATCTGTGATTGCTAAGATACTCTTGAGTTCTAGCAAACAGCAGTAGGACCCTGAGCAGGATTCATTACTGGCATTGTCTAGAGAAAACATGGTAGCACCTGCTTAGTGAGACAGCCTGTTAGCAGAGCAAGTGCTCTTCGTGTCCTGGCAGACCTACCAGGTGTCCTAGTGGCACGACTAGGGGCTCTAATACTGATGTTGGTGGCTGTCTGTCACCATTGCAGTAGAAGCCCCTGAGAATAGGAATTTCTCTTTACTTCATATGTGTAGAAATGAGTAAATAGAGAATATAGTAAAACACTCATGTTTTTTTTCATTGAACAACTGTATAATTAACTCCCAAGCCAAAAATTTTCCTATTTTGCAAATGAGACCAGCTATAAGACATTTCCTGGTGTTATTTCACGTTCCTTTATAGCCTGAAGTGCCCACTGATCCTTTCGCATGGTTGGTATTATTTAGAAAACTGCCTCAGATCATTTGAAACCTCTTTGTTGTGAAAATTCCTAAAAACTTTCTGGCAGTAATACATCCCTTTTCCCACCAAAATAGTAGTGATATAGCATTTTGTATTTAGTAGGTTTTTTATTACTAAGATATTTCCATTCAAATAAACTGTGAGAACTAGCTGTATACCATACTTGAAAATTTATTGATTTCATGTTGTCCATATGGTACTTCAGTATAAATTAATGTCTAGAAGCCTAATAAATACATGAAACTCTTGTTGAAGGGTGTGTTGATATTTGGAAACATGGATTTGGCTGTGCTTTATCTCATTAACCAACAACCCCAGCCATGCAATTACTAGACTAATGAGCTGTAGAAACAAGTACTGATTCTGTTCTTTCTTTCTCTTGATTGAGAGAAGGAACCACATAAAGAAATCCTCTTATTTTCCTTCTGCCTTGAAATTTTTCTTCACGTCCAACCAAATGTCTGCTCTTTGCCTTAGTCATCATTGTTAGAATTTGAAGTTATGACTTCTTCCACTATCAGCCCCTCAGTCATTAAAGGACAAATATTTGGGGTTCTCTGTGGGTTTTGGTTGTTTTTGCTTGTTTTGTTTTTGTTGTTCTTGTTGAGGGGTGGTAGGTTGGGCAGGAAAGGGGAATTCTAAAGCAGAGCATGGCTCAGCCATTTTTGTGGCTTCCTGTTGCTTCTGCATCCAGGGATGGTCTGCTCTTAGCATCTTGGTAAGTAAAAATTGTAAAATAAATAATTTCTTATTTTTTAGTATACATGTGAATTAGTTGTCTAATGCAACCATAACAAATTAACTTTCTTGAGGCTTTAGTTGAAAATCCATTTCCTTGCCTTACCAGCTTCTAGGCCACCTACACCTCTTGGCTCGTGGTTCCCTTACTCCATATTCAAAGCCAGCAGTTTTAGGTCTCTGGCCATTCTTCAGTGGTCACATTTCCCTCTCTGTCCTCTTCTACTTCCCTCTTGCACTTTCGAGGAACCTGTGATTACATTGAACCCACTCAGATAATCCAGGGTAGTCTTCCCATCTCAAGGTCCTTGATTTATAGTCACATTTGCAAAGTCTCTTTTATCATGTAAAGGAACATAGTCACATGTTCAGGGGATTAGAATGTGGGCATCTTAGGGGGGACCCATTATTCTGCCAACCATAATATTCTCTGCAATTTGAGTTCCTTCCTTATATTTGTAAAGCAGAACTGTGCAGAAGTTGAACTGTGGCAAAACATTCACTTGCCTCCTAACTCATTCACAGGTCTCTGGCTACCCTGGTTCACATGGAATCACAGCCATGGCTGGCAGCATCTACCCAGGTCAGGCATCTCTTTTGGACCAAACAGAGTCATGGAATCATAGACCTCAGGAGATATCAATGTGGCAACCCAACATGGAGGTAAATGGCATGTTCTTAAGCATGGCTTAAGATACCTTTTATTTCTAAATCTCAAGATTTCTTGATTTTGATGACTCAATTCTAAAATCAAGGTACCCCATCTACTCAAATGCTTTCTGGCTTTGTGAATTTATTTTTACTAAAAAAAAATACCCAAGGAGAAATGTAACAGTTATTAGTCCATTTATTTGAAAGGCTTATCCCTAAGTTGAGTATAATAAGCATATACATGAGGCCAAGAAATAAACAGGAAAACAGAGCCTTCAGTTCTGTGCACCATGTTAATTTTTACTAAATTTTCCTGGTAAAACCAAGAACCAGTGCTACAGTATTAGAAATTGTTTATTTGCCTCAAAGAGCATCTATAGTTGTCTGCTATTCCTTGGAGTAAACATGTTTAATGGCTGTTTACTTCATAATCTCATAATATGTACCATATTTAAACCTCTGTTCATTTTACTTTCCTTTTTTTTTTTTTTTTTTTTTTTTTTGAGACAGAGTCTCGCTCTATTACCCAGGCAGGCTAGAGTGCCATGGTGTCAGCCTAGCTCACAGCAACCTCAAACTCCTGGGCTCAAGTGATCCTCCTGTCTCAGCCTCCCAAGTAGCTGGGACTACAGACATGCACCACCATGCCCAGCTAATTTTTTCTATGTTTAGTAGAGACGAGGGATCTCGCTCTTGCTCAGGCTAGTCTCGAACTCCTGACCTCAAGCATTCCTCCCACTTCAGCCGCCCAGAGTGCTAGGATTATAGGTGTGACCCACCACAGCCAGCAAACTTCCCACATTTTTTTTAATTTATTTATTTTTAAGAGACAAATTTTCCCTCTGTCACCCAGGCTTGGACAGTGCCCTGATCACAGTTCTTGCAGCCTCAAACTCCTGGGCTCAAACAACCCTTCCACTTCATCCCCCCTTGTGGCTGGCACTGCACACTTGAGCCACCATGCCTGGCTAATTTTTTATTTTTTGCAGAGACAGAGTCTTTCTGTGTTGTCTAGGGAGGTCTCAAACTCCTGGGCTCAAGCACTCCTCCTGCCTCAACTTCCCAAAGTGCTAGGATTACAGATGTGAGCCACTGTGCGGACCCCAGATTATTTCTTTTTACTATAAGTAACAATGCATTTTTTGTACATATCTTGGATTATTTCTTTAGAATAGACCCCCTACAAGTGAATCTATGAGTTAAACAATTGTATATTTTTTAAAGCTGCTGGACACACATGAAACTGCAACCTCCAGAAAAGTTACTCCTACAAGCACAGTATGAGAGGCTCTATTTCCATTACCCTTGCCATTGTGCTGAACTGTTTTGAAAGACACATAAAACAAAGTAAGAGCTTTTGACTAGACTCAGAAGACTGGACAGGGTGTTTTCAACCCTTCTTCCAGGACTCTGCAGCATTGGACCTGCGAGGGATCGGGCAGGTGTTGCCGACCCACCTGATGGAAGAGCGGCTGATCCGACAACAACAGGAAATGGAAGAAGATCAGCGCTGGCTGGAAAAAGAAGAGAGATTTTTGGTAATTGTGTTTCAGAAAGGTTTCTTGCACTTTTTAAACCCTGTTAGACTTGACTCTATTGCAAAAGATTGTAAAATTTCATCTTTTCCAAAGCAGGAGAGTTAGTTTTACATTGGTCCCTAAAACTTGCAAGAGTGGGTTATTTTCCTGATTATTTTTTAGGGATAAATTTCTAAGATTTTAGCAGTGGCATTGTGGGCTCAGATGTGAGCATTTCTTTGGTTTTGCATTTCCATGTTGTTTACACAGAAACAACTTCCACTTAAGTGTCAGCTTTCACATAAAACGTTGCATTTCGCCACTGCAGGATGTGTAACAAGACAGCTAAGTTTTGCCTTCATGGCATTCTTGACAGATGGGCACTGGATGTGTCTGGACTTACGGATGGGAAATGTCTTCCTTCAGGCAACCCTTGTCAACAACCCCCTTCAGAAGTCCCTTGGGGACAGAGAGGAAGTGGTGGGACAGAGCAGTCTCTGTGTTATTTGACACAAAGGTCCTTTTGAACTCAGGGCCCCTGCTACCAGGCACTTCTGTGCCCTCAGCCTCAGAACGAGGGCCTGTGAAAACCCACTCCCCATTCTCCTTGGACCCTGACTAGCTATTTCAGTCTTCCTGAAGTAGCCCGAAAAGAAACGTGGCTGAGAGGAGCCTGGATTCACATTGTTTCCACAGAATCTGAAGGCAGTAACTTTACTGGTCCCTCGGGCTTTGATTTGATAAACATTCACTGATGCCAACTTTGTGTTAAGTACTAGGTTAAGGGACTAAGATACCAAGGAGGGTAGGATACAACCTCTGTTTCTTAAATTGCTTTAAGTCTTATAGACACAGAAACATTTAAATCAATAAGTAATGTTTCAGACTGATTCGGCAGAATTTATGAACATGTGAAAGTTGCACTCACTACAGGATGTGTTGGGGCTGACGTCTTAGTGCACATACGGAAGTTGGAAGTAGGTCACACTAGCAAGGCTCAAGATATTCAGTAGTTGTTGGCTTTTTTCTTTTTATTGAGGTTCTTCACATACAGTGAACTTCACAAGTTTTAAGTACACAGTTGGATGAGTTTTGATGCATACAAGCCCATGTAAGCCATACTCTGTATGTAGAACATTTCCGGCACTCCAGATAGTTTCTAAATTATGTTCATAATCCATTTGTATATTTGGATAAACTGTCCCACAGGGATTACACTTAGAGTTGCATTAAGTCCACATGACACCCTAAGCGGTATGTCATCCTCAGTGTGTTTCTCTTCCCTAGCTCAGAAGAAGGGCATATCCAGAGTTTGTTCATGACTTCCTGGATTTCTCCCAAATAGTTTTTTTTTTTTTTGAGACAGGGTCTTTCTCAGTTGCTCGGGCTAGGGTGCAGTGACATCATCCTAGCTCACTGCAACCTCCAACTCCCAGGCTCAAGCAATCCTCCTGCCTCAGCCTTAAGTGAGAATGATTTATTTATTGTCATTGTTGGTTTCAAGGTCAAAACAATTCTGGTTTAAGATGAGTTGACCCCTGTCTTCGATTTGGGTATTTGCCTTCTGGTCATCCTTATTTGGCTGTTTTATCAGCACATCAAAGTCAGCATGTCCAAAACTGAATTTGTAATGCTCTACACCAAACTTGACTTTCCTTCTGTGTTTTCTATGCCTTTTCCCCAGCCCCCCAAGATAGAACCTGAAATGTCCTTTCTGTACCTTTCCACTCATTCACAAAGTCACCACATCCTGTTCTAATTCTTAAATGTCTTTTGAATCTCTCTTCTGTTGTCCCTCTTATTGTCCACGTGCAGTCACGCGCACATCTTGCCTGGACCACATCAGCATTTCTCAGCTGTGCCTTCCACACGTGTTTATCGAGCACTTCTTACGTACCAGCCCCATGCTGGGCTCCAAAGCCACAAGAGTGCATAAGACAGATGCAGCTCCTGTTCTCATGGAGCTTATGTTGTAGTGGGGGAGAGAAGGGCGAAAAGGCTTAAAAAGCAAGTCATCAGTCAGAACTGCTGTGACAAAAACGGTGGGCAGAGAGAGGGAGCAGAAGTCGTCTGAAAAAGAATCTCTAAGATGTAAACAAGTAGAAAGAATGAGAAAAGAGAAAGAAGTACATTCCAGCCCAAGGGAGGCAACATGTTCAGAGGCCCTACTGCAGTAGGGAACTTGGCCAGCATGGCCAGAGGCTGAGGCAGGAGAGGGAGGCAGCCCCCAGTAGGGGTCGGGAGACCTGGATTTTATTATTAATGAGGTAGGAAACCATCAAAAGCCTTCTAAGCGGTGGTGATAGCCACTTGCTCTTTTAAGAATGTTCCATCCCTTTCAGTTTGGAAGATGTCCTAAGAGAGGCAGGAGGAAGATTGGGGGGCTGTGGGGAGGACATTGCCATGGGGCAGTGAGAGCTACGAAGCAGTCAAGGCTTGGGGCACGCTTTCCCCTCGAGTGACCGAGTGGGTAGGTCATGACTCCACGGAGGGAGGCGATGAGAGGGGAGGAGAGTTCGGAGTTGGGGGCAGGCAACTGTGAGTGTTCCACTTGAGGCTTTTTAAGTTGGGGTCTCAAATATGTCCCCTTGAAGCTGTGTTTCATGCCACAGCCACGCAATAGTTCTGAATGTCCCCCTCTGACTTAAAATCCACCAGGGCTGTCACAGGATGATGCCCATCTCTGGTCAGCCCTGTGAGCTGACCCCTCATTTTTCCCTGGGGTCACCTCCTGACTGGGCCGCTCTTTCAGTGCTGCAGGCTAGCCCACATCTCCTGCCTGTTGACCTCTGCTTAGAATAAGCTTCCCTACTTCACCTGTGTACTCCCACTCATGCTTTTTGGCCTCAGCCTAAATCTCATTTTCTTCTAGAAGCCCATCCTTATACTCTGCCTCACCCACAGAGTCTAAAGTAGGCACTCTTTGGGTGTATTTCTGTAGCACTGTAATGCACTTTTGCTATGTTATGGAAAAATGGTCAGTTTTTGCTGTAGAAAACTAGAAAACAAATAGAATGTGTTAGGTATAGATTATGAGTAACTCTTTAGCTTGTGAGACATAGAATTCATAAGATACATTAAACATAGAAAGTAAGGTATAAGCTGGGCATGGTGGCTCACATCTGTAATCCCAGCACTCTGGGAGGCTGAGGTGGGCAGATCGTTTGAGCTCAGGAGTTCGAGACCAGCCTGAGCAAGATCGAGACCCCGTCTCTACTAAAAATACAAAGAAATTAGCTGGACAACTAAAATATATAGAGAAAATTAGCCAGACATGGTGATGCATGCCTGTAGTCCCAGCTACCCGGGAGGCTGAGGCAGGAGGATTGATTGAGCCCAGGAGTTTGAGATTGCTGTGAGCTAAGCTGACATCACGGCACTCTAGCCCTGGCAACAGAGTGAGACACTGTCTCAAAAAAAAAAAAAAGAAAAGAAAAAGAAAGTAAGGTAAAGTAAAGCATAAACAAACAAAAGTGTTACTTAGAGACCAGGGCTTCTCCGCCTTGGCACTATTGACATTTTATCCAGGTATTTCTTGTTCTAGGGGATTGTTCTGGGAATTGTGGGATATTTAGCAGCATCTCCTGCTCTATCTACCATATGCCAGAAGTATCTTCCCCAAATTGTGACAACTAAAATGTCCCCACACAGTATTCCCTGGAGACAGAATGGTGCCCAAGTAAGAACCATTGTTGCAGATGAAAAAGAAGGGTGGTCAGCAGGAAGTCTGAGGCAACAGAGAGAAGCATATGGAAGTTGTACAGCCTAGGACTCAGGGTGTGGCCTCTCCACCTGCTTGCCACCTACCCTGTCTCTTTCCTACCCCAACTTATTCCTGTGCTTCTCACTATGTTTTTTTGTTTGTTTTTATGTAATAACTATGTGATTTGAGCCTTCATTTGGTCTTAAGCCTTTCTGTTGGGTGACCTCTGGGATAGCCTGCCTAATGCCAAACTTGGAACCATGGCACTTTTTTTTTTTTTTTTTAAACAGTCTTACTCTGTTGCCCCAGATAGAGTGCAGTGGGTGTCATCATAGCTCACTGCAACCTCAAACTCCTGGGCTCAAGCGATCCTCCTGCCTCAGCCTTCTGAGTAGTTGGGACCATAGGTGCACACCACCACCCTCAGCTGAGTTTTCTATTTTTAGTAGAGATGGGGTCTCACTCTTGCTAAGGCTGGTCTCGAACTCCTGACCTTAAGTGATCCTCCCACCTCAGCCTCCCAGAGTGCTAGGATTACAGGCATGAGCCATCGCGCCTGGCTGACAAGTACCTTTCTTAATGTTTATAAGACAGTGTTGTATTTTTCTGTTTGTTTGTTCACCCTACCAGGATGAAAGCCCCACAGGGCAGGGACCACAGACTGTATCTTTCCTGTTCATCGTTCACTCTCTAGTGCCTAGCAGATAGAAAGCTCTTAGTATTGAATGAATGAACGATAAGTGTTGCTTAATCTCTGCCTGAAGAATGCCTTTTCATCTTGTGAAGACCTCTTTGTGTTACCTCAAAGATAATTCCTTTCCCCACAACAGGGTTTCTCAAATTGGGCATTGTTGACGTTTGGGGCTGGGTAGTTGTCTGTTGTAGGAAACTGTCCTGTGAATAGTAGGGGTGTTTAGCAACATCCCTGGCCTCTGCTCACTAGATGCCAGTAGCACCTCATAAAGTAGCAGGCATGATGTTCAAGCAAACTTTGTTTACTACGGCATGCCGTTCTCCGTTCTCACTCACCTCTTTATGTGAGCTCCTTGAGGGCAGGAGCTGTGCCTTAACTGTTTGTGTCTTGCTTTTTCTTCCTTGTGCTTCTCACTGTATAACAGCATCTCACTTATTTGTTTTCCTCTCTCCTCTACTAGTGTAAGAATCACAAAGACAGGAACGTTGTCTGTTCAGCATTTTCCCCTCAGCTCTTGTACACTGCTCAGCAGTAACATGGCTCAGTCAGTATTTGTTGAATGCACTACCACACAATGTCAGTTATTACACATCTAAATCTTTGTTCAATGAAAAATAAAAGTAA